TAGGTCAAAGGTTAGGGAGAAGGTAGGAAAATTTTAGAGACCATTCATAGGTGGCAAAAATACCACCTATGAATTCAAATTTCATTTCCATTTATAATCCCAAGCAGTGTCTATATGGTGGTTAATAGCAGTGATGGTTAATCCCAGTTGCCATTTGATGAAATCTAGGATTACCTGGGAGATGAGCCTCTAGGGTTCCCTGTGAGGGTTTATCTTGATTGGATTGATGGGAGTGGGCAGAGACACCTATGGGCGGCACCATTCTCCAGGCTGGGACTCTAACCTGTACAAAGGGAAAGTGAGTTAATGCAGCAGGCACCTTTCTTTGCTTCTTCACCAAAGATACAGTTGCCCCCAAGGTCCCTGCTGTTACTTCCCCACCTTAATGGGCTGGAACCTCAGACTGTGAGGGGAAATGGACCCTTTGTCCCTTAAATGGTTTTTGTCAGGTGTATTGTCACAACAACAGGAAAACGGAATGATAGTTATTTAATTTTCTGGAAAACTGACCACCTCTTTTTATTCTTTTTTTTTTTTTAAGACAGAGTTTCTCTGTATTGCTTTTGGAGCCTGTCCTGGAACTAGCTGTGTAGACCAGGCTGGCCTTGAACTCACAGAGATCCCCCTGCCTCTGCCTCCCGAGTGCTGGGATTAAAAGGGTGCACCACCACCACCCGGCTCTTTTTGTTCTTGAATGACACTTAACAGTAAGCAAGCAAAAGCTGCTTTGGGGTCTTTTTCAAGACTAGCTCATCTGAATCAGTACCTCAGATATTCTCCTTATAAAGGTCCTGTAGCTAAGAAAAGAAAGAAAGAAAAAAAAAAAAAACACTTGGGTTTGTGTTCTAGAAACAGGAAATGTGTCTATACTATAAAAGGAGACAGACTGACATGATGGAGGGCTGTTAGAAAATACTTCAGCCAGGCCTATTAGCAAAAGCCCATAATCTCAGCTTCTTAGAAGGCAGGTACATCACAAGGCCAGCCTGGGTAACTTGGTGAACCCTTGTCTCAAAATAAATTTTTGTTAAATACTGAGTTTGGACCTCCAAAAGATAGCTAACCCCCATGTTGACTGCGACATCAATTAAGTAGCCAAGATGTGGAAACTTTAGATAAGTAAGTAAAGATGCCCCTCCTCTCGATGGAGGATGTCCTTCTGTATGCTGTGAATATATGTTTCTTTCATTTGTTGATGAATAAAGCTGTTTTGGCCAATGGACAGGCGGGATGTAGCCGGGCAGGAAGTATAGACAGGAGTACCAGACTTGGAGAACTCTGGGAAGATGAAAGCAAAGAGTGAGTCTTGAGAGAGACACCATGCAGCTGCCAAGGGAGAACAGACCCTGGCGTCACCTGTAAGCCAAGACCATGTGGAGACACACAGATGAACAGAAATGGCTTAATAATTAAGAGAGAACTAGCTAATAAGAAGCCTGAGCAATAGGCCAAAACGTTCATAATCAATATAAGCCTCTGTATGTTTATTTGGGACTGAACAGCTATAGGACCAGATTGGACAGAAACTTCCATTTATACTCTCTCTTACACACACACACACACACACACACACACACACACACACACACACACAAATGTTTACAATCAAAATAGGCCTCTGAATTGTCTATGAAGATGATGTCTGGGGAAAATATTGTGGGTTTTTGTTTGGTTGGTTGGTTGGTTTTGTTGTTGTTTTAAGACAGGGTTTCTCTGTGTAACAGCTCTGGCTGTCTGGAACTCTCTCTGTAGACCAGAATGGCTTCGACCTCACAGAGATCCATCCACCTATCCCTCTCAGGTGCTGGGATTACAGGTGTGCATGACCACTGCCTGGCACATGAAGTCTTTTTAACATGAGGTAAATTCTAAGACTAAATCAGCCCCTCCAAATTTTAGAAAGTAGTTACAACACACCCTTGCTCTCATCTTATCAAAAATTCCAGAAAAATTGCAAAATGATAGTTGCTGTGTTTTCAGTTCATCTCAGAACTGAAGACACAGCAAGGGAAAGAGAAATCACTGGGAGGGAGAAGGGAGCAGAGAAGTATGGGAAGTAAGGAGATTACATACAAAGTGGGCAGGTACAAATGCTAAGTTACCCCGTCAGTCAGCACTCTGTTAGTACTCAACACCGTGTTCTAATTGTATACAGTATTATAAATTTTATATATACATATATATGTATATATATAATGTATATATATATATACATATATATATATATATATATATACATTATATATATACATATATATGTATATATCCTCAAGATAATGGGGTTTGGGGATAGAGCTCAACATAGAGTACTCACCTAGCACATGTGAACCCTAGATCTAATTCTACTGGGAGAAAAGGGGGAAACAGAAGGCCTCGGATTAGGACTGAAGCCAGCAGTCCAACTCTGCTGCTTTTAGGCTGTGCTTTTAGGCTGAGGCCTATCACTAACCCAATCTGTGCCTCACTTTGAGAAATGAGTGTAATGCTGCTACTCGTCTGGGGACTTTTTTAAGGATTAAATATCTTGACTTGTGTCAAGCGTTTCAAACAGTGTTTGGCATGTAGTAGGAGCTCAATAAGCATTAGCAGCTGTTAAGTCATTAAGAAATAAAAACAAAACACCTGCAATGCTAGTCAGACTGTTATGTCTGTGACAAGTTCCTGGTATAAACAACTTAAACAGCAAAGGCTTTATTTAGTTCATGGTTTCATCCTTTCTCTGTGGAGAGGCTTGGTGGTTGGAAGAAAGAGCAGCTCACATCATGGTGGCCAGGAAGCAGAGAAAGAATGGTTGTGGATGCAGGCTCTCTCCTTGTTTCCCTGCTATCCCATCTGGGCTAAGGCGTGTTTGTGGGGCCACAGTCATTCAGAGTGGATCTTCCTTCTTCTGTTGTCCTTAATGGAAATGTCTTCATGGATATACCCAGGCGTGTGCTTTAATAACCTCCTAGACACCTCTCAGTCCAACCAAGTTGAAACCAAGGTGAAACACCATCTGTCCGTGCAGTATTACAGCATACAAAACCTTTGGCATATCCACCAGCTGTGCGGCCACTTCCTGCGCACTGGTTATTCTGTTTCTATTATTGCTAACAAGACACCCCCAAAACAAGTAGAAAATAGTCCCTATTTTATTATGCTAATGGCTTCTATGAACCAGGCCCTAAGAAAGATACAGCAGGAATGGCTTCTCTCTGCTGTCCATACTGCCCAGGCCACTGCTAGAGAAGACAAGAAAGGTTGTATCAACTGAATGTAGTGCCCACTCTCATCATGGCTTCTCACCGTGGTGGCCTCGGGATAGTCAGCAGGCTCCTCACAGGCTTTCTACAGCAGAAGTCATTGCCTTTTATCATCCAGCCCCAGGACACCTCTAAATGTTACTGGTTCAAGTAGTCACACACACACACACACACACACACCCCGACCGATTCAGGGGCAGGATGTATTAGCCACATCCTTAGAGAGAGGCAGTTGCAGGAATCTGGCAGCCTTGTGGTTTTAGTTTTTTGGTTTTTTGTTTTGTTTTTTTTTTTAGACAGGGTTTCTCTTTGTAGCTTTGGAGGTTGTCCTGGAACTCGCTTTGTAGACCAGGCTGGCCTCAAATTCACAGAGACCCACCTGTCTCTGCCTCTCGAGTGCTGGGATTAAAGGTGTGCCTGGGGACAGCCTTGTTTTCTAAGCACCACACTTTACTAGTCCCTGATTCCATGTGAGAAATGGTAACTCATTGAAGGCTGCCCAAAAGCAGTGACTGGTATGACTTAAGCAGGGAGACTGACTTCTAATCCTTCCCAGTCTTGCTCTTTCAATTAGATTATTCAGTCTCCTCCAGCTTGTCAGTGTGTGAAAGTTCAGAGAAAGAAAAAACCATGCATGTGAATATGCATGTAAATATGTTAGACAGCTTCCCTAAAAGGAAACATGGATATAGAGGGTTTTCAGAAGCAAGGAGAAGTGGGTGATGGTGAGGAGAGATAGAGGGTGGTTAGCTGGTGCTGTGGTGTGGTAGACAGTTTTTTCTAATGGTTCAGAACACAGTACAGAATCCCTCTTGACAACAGTTAACCATACATTTCAAAACAGCTAGGACATACAGACCTAATGCAAGACACGATGAGAGTTGAGCTGGTAGACATGGTAATTACCCTGATCTGACCATTATACATTATATAAATGGTCTCAAATATCACACTGTACCCTATAAATGTGTCCTACCTATGCACCAAATAAAGTTATAAAATATATTCAAGTGCCACGTGGTGATGTTCTGGCCAACAATAAACAATGGATAATGGTCTTCCCATGAAATTGTCACCTGGTGATGTCATAACCATCTTAGTTTGCATTAATGCTACCTTAGAGTTTTTATTGCTGTGATGAAACACCATGACCAAAAGCAAGTTGAGGAAAAGGGTTTGTTTGACTTACATATCACATTCCATGATGGGAAGCCAGACAGGAACTCGGGGCAGGAACCTCAGATGCAAAGGCCATGGAAGGGTGCTGCTTACTGGCTTGCTCAGCCTGCTTTGTTAAAACCAGGGACTTCCAACCCTGGAGATGGCACCAACTACAATGGGCTGGTTCCTAACTCATCAATCACTAATTAAGAATATGTCCTACAGGTTTGCCTACAGCTTGATCTCATAGAGGCATTTTCTCACTTAAGGCTACCTTCTCTCTGATGACTCTAGGTTGTGTCAAGTTGACAAAAACTAGCCAGCACAAACTTACTCAGCATTCACACAGTGACACTGGCTAACAGTTTCATTGTAACCTAATAACCCATCCCTGTCATTGAGCAATACACAACTGTATTTCATCTAAGTACCAGGCTTCTGTTTTTAAGAGCTTGCACCCAAATTTCCTATTTTCAGATGGCTCTAGGGTGAGTTCAGTCCTGATCCTGGTCAGACAGCAACTTTGTATTGTTTTCTCACAAACAGAAATCTCTGAAAATGATACAGATGCTAACAGCAGTTCCATTTGTTCTCCAGGAAAATCTCACCTGGCCATTGTCCAGAGGGTGAACAATGAAGGTGAAGGGGACCCTTTCTATGAAGTGATGGGCATTGTCACGCTGGAGGACATCATAGAAGAGATCATCAAGTCAGAGATCCTAGATGAAACTGACCTCTACAGTAAGTGTGTGCCCTGGGCTATTCTCCCGGGTCCTCTGCCTTTCCTGTGATACTCCCAGGAGAGCATTGGTTTGAAAGGTTTGAAAGGACATCAAGGCAAGTCTGTGTACGGGTGTGTGTCATCCACCTCTACCCAGTGCTAGCATGGCAAGACACCCTGGTTCAGGTCATCCTGAGTCACTGAGAACATGCTGGCAAAATGTTATCAGAAGGGAACTTGGCTGAACACAGGCATAACTGGGAAAAGATAGCCTAGCCTTCAAAAGAAAAAAAAAAAATGACTACGGGAAATACAGTGTGCCCAAGAAGAGGGGTTCCCGTGTTGGTTCTTTATTTACCTATTGCAGAACCCAACTCCCTGCCCCCGAGCTCCACTTACACCCAACCACCAGTGAGCAATAAACACTGTCATGGCATTGCCCTTTGCCCAAGCCAAAAATGTATTCAATCCTCCTTGTTGGATATTGGTCTTGTCCCTTTTAGCACCACGGACTCCCGTCCCCCTCCCCCCTCCCCGACCCCCCACCACCACCCCAAGTCTCCCATTCCCTCCTGCCCCCTGGATCAGGTCCCTGTGTGGCTCCTATTGTTTCAGCCTCTGGGCTTTTCCTCTCCCCAAACCCACTAGGAACAAAATGAACTGGCCTCTGCAGAGTGAGAGTTTGGGGCATGTGAGCCTTATCATAGTTTTGCTTGCCAGCCACACAAGGGCTTGCTTTGTCTATGGAACTGGAATGTTATCTAAGTCCATGGGAATCTCTGCCCAGGAAATGTTTCCTCCTCAGACTTTCATCTCCTAAGGTAGCCATCCTCTGCCCTTCCCAGGGATAACTCATCTGAGATGAGCCACCTCAGTTTGCCAGAGCAGTCTTCCAGAAACTGGTTCCTCACAGCAAAAAAAGCTTTGATACCATATGGCAGTGACACCTTTAGGCCAAAAAAAAAGAAAAAAAGAAAAAAAAAATGAGCCAGCCTTTAACATAATAAGCTGAGTGCCACAGCACCTCCCTTCAGGGACCTGACAATGCTGTACTGAGCATTTTCAAACAAGGCAGAGCTCAGAAAGAATCCCTCCCATTCCAGGCTCCCTTCCTTCTCCCTGGCCACCACTCCTGCTCTAGAATCCCCCAGTATCTCTAAATTTCTAAATGTAAAGTGATGAAGACCTTTACAGTAAAGTGTTAGTAGCTGGCAGCAAGCTAAAGGAGCCGTCTCTTCCTGGGACATGGATTTAAATACCCACTGTTAAAATAAGAGTGATAAATGGAGAGGTCATAGGAACGTCTCCACTAGGAAAGCTTAGTGACATGCTGATAGACACAGAAGCAAGTTTGTCATGTAAGCCAGAAGGCTTCTCACTAGTGAGAGCACAGAAAACGGATCCTAAATCTCTACCCAGTGCTCATTTTCCAGATGAGGCTTTCTAGAAGGAAGGGCCAGGGGTTCCCATCCCTGTAAAGAAGCAGGAGTCGGGTGCTTCGTAGAGGCTTCGAGAGCTTCAAGTTTGGAAGATGGGAGAAAATCCAAAGGAAGGCCTGAAAGAAGCCTGCTCCTAAAGAAGAGAGGGACATGAGACAAGGAAGCTGGATTCTGGGGACCTGGTCCCCTGCCGTGAGGACACAGTCCATTGGTCCCTAGTGTACCTGTTGTACTACAAGCCCCCTGAAGCCCTGTTGGTTTCCAGGCAGAGTTTGAGAACAGAAACACATCTTTCCCCCCTCCCCTCAGTGCAGGTGAGGTGGGTTAGCGATTTCTTTCTTTTTTTCTTTTTTAAACACTCTTGGGAAACAGAAGTGGTCAAAGTAAACACTTCCTCCTCCACTTACAAAAAATCTATGAATATGTGTACACATGTGCATGTATATATGTACAAAAACGTGTGTCTCTACATGTGTAGACATATGTAGACCTTTCCTTCTGAACAGCAAGTTAATAATAAACTGGAGAAAGTAATTTCTCTGTGAATAGGCGCATACCCAGTGTACAAGATCCGAGATTCCAGGCTCTGCCTGGGTCCCCATCTGAAGAGCCTGCCGTTAGAAAGTATGCGTGCATTCTTACGCCTTCCCCCTTCTTTTCCCTTCCGTTTCCCTTGATTCTGGGTCTAGGGAGAAGCAGGGGAGTTATGAGTGGTCACAGAGTGACATACCTTAGGTACCACATGGCTTAAGCCCACAGGAAAGTGACTGTGGAACCCAGCTCAAAGGGACGGGAGAAGACAGAGGTAGACACCCCAAACCCCTTAACGCCCAGAATACGAGCACTTCATGTTTGTATGACTTTGCACAAACGCTGCCATGTATGGGTGCCTACTGAGATCTTGCATTGACTGCACAGGTAGAAAAGCTACTAAATATCATAGCTCTCTTGTATGGATTAAAACAATCAAAAATGCTAATGTGTAGAGAGTTCGCACAGCTGTCAGGTAAGGGAGTCAGCCCTAGAACTCTGGGCTTAGGACCCCCACCCCCGCCCCTGCCCAGGGCAGCCCCTTTTCATCTACCACCTACGCACAAACACAGAACCATCTGCTGCCTGCCTGTCTCCTACTGGGAGAGAGCTGACCTTGCCTTCTACAGTTGGCACTGCAGAATGGGTGGGGTCCCAAAGAATCTGGGTAAGCCTCCAAAGACCAACAGTGATTCTCAGTGTCAACTCTCCCCTGTGCCCCTATAGCTGACAATCGGAAAAAGCAGAGGGTCCCGCACCGGGAGAGGAGGCGGCATGACTTCTCTCTCTTCAAGCTTTCAGACTCTGAGATCAGAGTGAAGATCTCGCCACAGCTGCTGCTGGCCACACACCGCTTCATGGCCACAGGTAGGACCTGCCCCACCCACTCCCTACCCTAGCACTGCTAGCAGAATCTAAGTTAGCACCAGACATCACATATTTTTGTACCCTCCATCCCCATTCCTGTGTGCCCCTGGCACTGAGAACCATTGTTTGAGGAAGACAGTGTGACCTGGTAAGCTCCCAGCTCCCTCCCTCGCCGTGTTGTGGAGAGGAAGTGAGTGGTCTCCTTTCTGCCAGAAAAGGGCTAAGGAAACCACTGTGGGTGCTTCCATTTCCTCTTCTTACTTCCTCGCTGGAGCCTAAGGCCATCATCCTCCATCCTGCTGGAATTGGGGTGTGCTGGAGCATTTGTCCCAGCGGGAAAAGCATTGTCCTACCAAGCAGCAAGCCCCTGGGTTTCGGCCCCCTCCAGGAGTCATAGAGGTTTGTGAACTATGAGTTCATAAAATAGACAACTGGATTGGGAAGCCTGGTACCTTTAAAAGAAAAGCAAGTGAAGGATTAAGCTCCTTTTTGTGAAAAGGGTAGCATTTGCCTTTGACCTCTGACGTCATTCACCCCTAATTAATATGATGACCTAGGATGATCAATCCATCACTAAGTTCCATTTTACTAATATAGTATTTATCTATGGGGGATATAATGAGGGCTAGCTAGCTAGCACTGTTCCAGGTCCTGAAAAGTAGGCAACTATAGGATAGAGCCTCCAACACAGAGTTTTCAACATATAATCTTGTTATGAATACAAATTTCTTCTCATCACAAACCAATTTCCCAAAGCAAAGCAGCTTTACCTTCTTAGTATTATACTGCAAGTATCAATATACAATATCTATTAATAGTTAAGTATGATAAATGATATTTTACATTATTGACAACTTAATATTGAAGTAATTACCAGTCTCCATTAACTTGGCATTTCATTTCACCCAGCAGGTGGATGTTATCCAAATAAACCAGACTCACTCCCCAGTGTGGCACTCTACTGTAAAATTAAAGACTTTGTTGTGTCTATGGCTTAGTTGTCTAGGTCCAACTCTAACTAAAAACAAGGAGGAAATTCATAGCAATACTGACATTTCCCAAATGGTGACCTGTTTTTCCTGAGATGCCAGTGAAGCCACGGTCACTCCCAGAAGGCATTGGTAGGGAAGGCTCCAGGATGCACACTGGGAACTAAAATTCCTCAATACAAGGAAGTTGCAGAACCCCAGCCTACTTGGCCGGCTTGTTGTAGATGAAAGCCCGGTTGCTGCCCTTGCCTCCTCCAGCTTTTGCTGCTGGAGTGGGGGGGGGAGGCATGGAGTGCTGACATCCACCCCCACCCCTGCTGCCTTCTAGAAGTGGAACCCTTTAAGTCTCTGTACCTTTCCGAGAAGATCCTGCTCCGGCTACTGAAACATCCCAATGTGATCCAGGAGCTGAAGTTTGATGAGAGGAATAAGAAGGCCCCAGAGCATTACCTCTACCAGCGCAGCCGCCCTGTGGACTATTTCGTGCTGCTTTTACAGGTGAGTGGCAAGGTCAGGGAACTTCCAAGGGCAAGAGGAGGGCATCTGAAGGGTGAAGGGGATTGGCTATGGCTGTCCCTCAGTGCAAGATGCCTAGAGAACAAGGCAAGTAGAGTAGGCATCCTGCATTACATACAGGAAGGGTCCAAGCATGAACAAGTGATATCCTGGGAGCCAAAGTTTCTTCAGTAGTCTTCCATGTGAGCGTTCAAGCATGTATGTTTGGGAGACAGTGAGAAGCGTGTATGTTCAGTAAGGCATTCTGCTTCTGAATGAAAAGGGCCCTGATAGTTCCTGGTATCTGCTTGGGTGTCCCCTACTGCCTCCTGGGATATAGATGGTTCTTGTTAAAAACCTATGTTCATCTCAGCATCTCTGGCATCCATACTGGTCCTCACTCTGCTTCCTGGAGCACATGGAACACGTCCATTCACTGTGCCACACTTCATTCTGTGTGGCTTCCTGAAACAGCTCTCTCTGAAGGGGATTAGGAAGGGAGGCAATGACTGAAATAAATAATCACCTCCCCAGGACTTTCATAAAGATACTTGCCTGCCCTAGATATCTGAACAGGCCTATATTAACTATGTATCAAAGCTAGGCATGGTTTCACATGCCTGTAACCCAGCACTCAAGAAGCAGAGGCAGGAGGATAGCTGTGAGTTTTAGGTCAGTATACATACTGGGTTTAGGGTGTGCAGAGCCACTTGGCAAGATTCCATCTCAAAATTAATTAATTAAATGGAAGTAACCATCAAGTCCTGGCCCCCACCGTGAGCTCTGTCAACTGGCTCCGTGTCTGTTCTCAGCAGAGTGACTGGTTTAAGATCTAAGTAAAAGTTACATTAAGTTAGAAGTAGCCTCTGTTTGTTACAATCCACTTCAGCATGTCCTCCCAGACACAGTGATTTGTCTCAAATATATAGTTCCAAATAACCTCAATAAAATGGTTGTTCTTCCCAAAAAAAATGGGGTCACTTTCTTCACTGTTAGAGATGGTTCCTGTTACATTGTTCATGTAATTCAAGGACACATGCAATGCTTAACAAACGTTTTCAAATAAAGAGCTGAAGGGAACAAAATGTGGTGGAAAGAAGGTGGGCTCAGGAATTAGAAAGATTTGCCTTTAAGATTTCATTGTTCTAGCCTTCTCCTGAGCCTAGATCAATGCATCCATCAACTGGACATAAAAACGTTACATGTTTGGTGGAGCTGTAGGACTGACAGTGAGCATCTACGCGGTGTACATAACCGAGTCAGATGCACAGATGTAGCTATACGCTCTCATAGTGATAATCACCGTCACAGATGATGGGTTCAAGGTCAGAGTCTGTCTCATCCACACTTGGAAATGGTCTCATGTGACACTAAGTCATTGAAGCTGCTCACAGAACTCTGGCTTAGCTGGTGCTGTAGACCTGTGTTCTAGAAAGACCACTATGGAGCGTCCAGAAAGCTTGGTCATCCGTGCCCGGGTGCTACTCTAGGATTGCTGAAGCAGTGAACTTACGCAGTGAACTTACTGCAAAGGGCTTCTAATGTGGAGGGTTCTGTTCTGTAACATAAATCAAGGTAGACTTGACACTGCCCTGCGAGAATGCAAGTCCACTTGTCATGCATAGAAAAGTACATAGGGTCTGAGTGGATACAAGACCTGGAAATGCTCGCCACAGCCTTGGTACACTGCTTATGCCCCTTCTTTCTCCAGGGTAGAGTGGAAGTGGAGGTTGGTAAGGAAGGCCTTCGCTTTGAGAACGGAGCCTTTACCTACTATGGTGTTCCTGCCATCATGACCACTGCTTGCTCAGGTACTCCAGTTCCCAAGCCCCAGCTGCTCAGGGGAAGCAATGAGATCTCCCAAGGCTCAAGTCGCGACTCTTTGCCTGGCTCCTTAAAAGACCCTCCAAATAAGCTCTTTAACTTCCTTGGATCTGGTTTCCTTCATGCCAAATGAACGTAAAAATAATGTTTCCTTCAGATTTTGCTTAGTTTAAAAAATAAGAAGTAACCAGGTGGTGTTGGCGCCTTTAATCCCAACATTTGGGAGGCAGAGGCAGATGGATCTCTGGGAGTTCAAGGCCAGCCTGGTCTACAAAGCTAGCTCCAGGACAGGCTCCAAAGCTACACAGAGAAACCCTGTCTCAAAAAAAAAAAGGAGGAAAACTGAGTTGGAAGGAAAAAGGAAATCATGTAGCAAGTGTTGAGAAGGGAGAGTGTATTGAAAAGACAAGCTGCTTCACTTCTTACCCCTCTTCGCTACCCTCCTGTTTGATGCCTGATTTCTGCAGGGTTAATTGGTGCTGGGGTGGAGTGGAAGTAGAGATCCCCATAAGAAGTTATGTTTTCTGAATTACTTCTGAAACCCACTGCATCCTTCTGTCCTTAGATAATGACGTGCGGAAGGTTGGAAGTCTGGCTGGATCCTCTGTCTTTCGTATGTATCTCTCAAACCCCTTCCTCGTCTTCCCCGCCATGGCCCTGCCTCAGCCCACTTGGGGAACCCGAACCAAGCTATTTGAACATGGGCTGGGCTGACACAAATGCTGGCAGCCTCTTTGTAATGCTCTGCCAGAACACTGCCTCCCACCAGGTACCCACAGAGCACGGAGGCTTAGGTCGTGTGTGTCTGGAATGCTGTGGCTTCTCTGTTCACACCCACATGATGAATGGGAGTCTGGGGGATAGGTGTGCGGTGTGGCGGGCAGGGGGCACAGTGAGTTACCACCTGCTGGGGCATGCTGGCATTTGCTCTGTGTGCTCTGCTGGTGGTTCAGTCTTCCCTTCACTGTAGTGGTAATCGCCTCTGCCCTTTACCTGGAGTGCTATGATTTCGTCTGTGACATTTGTTCTCAGGGAAAGGTGACTGTGACATTCAGTGTTATAAATCAAGGCTGGTGCAATCTGCTACTTAGCTGCTGCTAGTTCCTTACTTACAACCTCTCTGTTGGTGCCAACGTGGCTGCCAGCTGGCCGTGCATGCTGCCTGGGGATGGGGGCTGGCACAGGGCTGCCAGCTGGCTTGAGCTGGCCTTCTGTGCTGTACCTTCTTGCTGTTTTCTGTGCAGACTTGGTGTGTTTGTATGTAGAAGGCATGGCTTCTATTGTGATGTGTGTCGCAGAAAGTTTTCTCTAGGTGTCATTTAGATTCACTGGTTAAATTGTGCACTGTGGTGGCCACTTTAATATCAAATAGGATATTTCTTTTAATCATAAAAAGGATTTTGCATAGTGTTTCTTATTGGAATTTATCAGAGGACTTTGGAGCTTGATATTCAAAGGACAGAGCAAGGTACATGCTGCTTCAGAATGAGAAAATGGGGTTGGGCATACAGAGCAGTGGTCAAATAGTTATCTAGCATGGACAAGGCCCTGAGTTCAAATTCCAGCACCACAAAAATAGATAAATAAATTTATCAGTTAAATTTTTAATAAGAAAAGTCAAAGAAGTAATTTGTTCCATATCACCCAGCCAGTTGATGACTTACCTGGATAGGATCACTCCTGTGTCATGATTATTTCCCACAGCACAATGGGTAGAATTTTAGATCCCTGTTCCAGAATGCTATTGCTATATGGACATGATAGAATAACTTACCATGTCATTTTGCTTCCTGGCTCACCAGCTGGCTGAAATGAAGTCTTAAGTATCTGTTCTACCCACAGGGATATAGAACTTGAGTAGGGAGATCTGAGAGAGAAAGCATCAGTACTCAGCATAGGGAGGTGAACAGGTGAGAGAGTTTCCAGGGCCAGGGAACCCTTCGTTCTCAGAAGGAGTTGCCCATGCATCACAGTAGAGATGCTCTTAGCACTCTATGATGCTGCCTAGAAATGCTGACTCCAGAAAGAACTGTGAGATAAGAAAATGAGAGCTTCATACATCTCCCCATCCCCACCCTCTCCCTCCCTACCTCATATGACTTTCTTAAAGAAGAGGGCCAGCAGAAAGGCTCAGCAGGGAGGCACTTACTGCTGAGTCTTATGGCTGAGTTTGGTTCCAGGGCCCCTGGAAAAGGAGATCACTGACTTTCACTCTCATACGTGGCACACCAGCTCACCTACACACACACACACACACACACACACACACACACACACACACACATCAATAAATATAAAAAACAATTTCAAGTAAAAAGATACTATCTGGCTTCCTCTGATTCTAGTTCTATCAAAAATCATTTGCTTTAATCAGTGGAAAAAAAGAATAATCTTGCAATAGGGTCTTTTTTTTTTTCATGTTTTATTAAATGTTTTTGGTTTTTCAAGACAGGGTTTCTTTGTGTAACAGTCCTGGCTGTCCTAGAACTCACTCTGTAGACCAGGCTGGCCTTGAACTCACAGAGATCTGCCTGCCTCTTTGCCTCCCAAGTGCTGGTATTAAAGGCGAGTGTCACCACCACCCAGCTATTTTATTAATTTTGTTTTAAGTTAGCGTAGAAAATAATGGGTTTTATCATGGCATCTTCATATCCATGAATCATTATACTTTATATTCAATTTAACTAATTAAAGGAAGCATTAAATTCTCTGTCCCCTCCCATGCTTCTGAGCCTTTATACATATCCAGGAAAGATAACACCATTGGTCAGGAGTGGGAAAGAGTTGCTGTCCACCATCCATCAAGTTCTTCCAGAGAAGGGCGGACCAACTGCTAAGTCACCCACACCCCACGGGTGCTCCCTACGTTGATGCTGAAGTCACGTTCAGGGGCTCCGAGCTCCACGTTTTACTGACCAAGAGCATTGCATGCAGCTGGAGAGTGAGCCCAAACCACAGGGCAGTGAACTCTTGCAGGGCCTTGAACTAGCAGGGGTGCGGTTTTCTCACTCGTTGAGGTAGAAAGTAAGACTGTGTATTTGCGGGGACACCTGTGACCTCAGAGGTGAACCTGAAGTTACAAAGAATTCTCCCAGGTGTATCTGAGTGGGGCACAATCCACACTCCATCCACCACCACCCCCTTTTTGAGACAGGGTTTCAGTATGTAGCCTGATTAGCCTAGAACTTGCTATGTAGACCAAAATTCACAAAGATCTGTGTACCTCTGTCTCCCGAATGTTGGAATTAAAGGCAAGCATCCGTGCCAGGCTCACACTCTACTCTTTATCTTGATGTTGATTGCCAGGATTCTGGGAGCCCATGATGAGGGAGCCCAGTTTTCTTGAGGAACCTCACATGAGCTCAGGTAGAACAGGGCCACACAGAGGTATGCAGAGGGAGAACAAGCCTGCCATCTGCTTCGCAGAACTGAGACCAGTGTGTCTCAGAACAGAGGCCAGTTCAGACACTCATTAACATCCTATGGCAGTACTAATGGTTATTGGACAGATTAAACGAACAACCCTCCTCTTCGCCTGCAAGGATAAGTAATTTCAGATCAGGGAAGAGAAAACTGCAGAAGCTCCCTGTTTCCGTGTGCCTTCAGCTTGCAGATCAGTTTCACTTGGGTCCTGGGAAGGGACTCTGAGAATGGTCAGACAGGCAGGCAGACAGACAGACAGACAGACACACACACACACACACACACACACACACACACACACACACACACACACGCACACACACATCCTGTGTAGTGCAGCAGGGTTAACACCAGGAAAGAACTGGAGTCCTGCACAGTCTGCTCTTCTGAGGCCTAAATGATGGCTACTGCCATTTCTGACCCCGGGGGAAAAAGAAAGGGAGAGAGAAAAGAGAAGGAAAGAAAGAGAGGTGCTTCAGAATGCTTGTGATTTCTACAAAGTACCTGGGATTTGCTTTATTCACAGTTGAGCTTCTAGAAACCTGCCCGGCCTTTGCCCCCAGCCTCTAGCAGTGCTCAGCTCCTCACCAGCACTGTGCCCACAGTAGAGCATCACCTGGGAGCCTAGGCAGGACCCAGCCTCCCAGTAGATGCCCTCCCAGCATGCACCTGGCTTCCTGGCCTCTGAATGTCTACCCAAGGGCTCTTCTGTAGGAACAGGGCGACATGAGACAGCTGGGAGAGCAGAGGGCAGGGGACAGTACTGGCCTCTAGCACACTTGCTAGCTCAAGGTGGGCACCTCAGAGAGAAAGCTGCTTATGTGTTCCCTCCAAGGGCACTGGCTGTGCTAGTCAGAAGCATCTGCGATTGCCACTGAGATTATCCCATATCCTTTCAGGAGACCTTCAGTCAAGTTCATGTTATTTTGTCTCTCTGGGGTGACTTCATAAACATGCAACTCCTGTGTTTTCTGAAACAAGTTTTATTTTTTGCCATGCAATGTGATATTGTGAAGAACCAGGAACAGACTGTCTCACCCATTTTGCTCTTTGTCTCTCTTCTTTTGTGTTTATCTTCCCCTTTGCTACTCACATATCCTTGGCCCCTGACTTTTTAGTGCCCGTCTCTGTGTCTCGTACCTTCGCCTTCAGCAGAGGGGACTCCCTGGCAGGCTCCCCAGGTAAACATGCATGGGTATCTCGGGTCTCTATAGATCCAGTCGGGTTAGCAGGAGGCATTTGATCTCCCTCACTGTCCTGCATGAGAACTGGTCTCTACCCACAGGGACTCCAGTGACTAAGGCATAGTGCATTGCACAAATAATACTCATTTCACGGCGGGCTGGTTCAGCAGCTTTAGTTGGGAGTTTTCCTGACAGAACATATCTGTGTATATACATTGAATAATGGTTGAGGTGTTAAGTAGGCTGAGGTCTTCCAAATAATTTGACTCTACAGGGTGGAGGGATAAAAAGTGCAGGAGGGAAGGAGGAGGAAATGATGGAAGAGTGTCCTACGTTCCTACCACCTCTTTTCCTGCTGCCGTTAACCACTCACCCATCCCCCTCTTCCTAGTGGATCTACTGACTGATAGTTGCATTTCCTGTGGTCCTGCTCATACAAAGGCATGTATGAGCAGGTATGTAAAAATGGCCACATAGCTTTTTGTTACATGTAACTCCTCCTGTTAATGAAATAACAATTTGGTGATTTTGTTCTGAACTGAGTAAAGCCTAATAGAGAGCTCAATAACCCAAAGACTGAGTTGAGTACAATAAATCTGAATAATTAAGTAGCTGTTTTTATATTGCTTCTATCTTTAGAGGTTGATCTCTTTGTACCATGGAGTGAGGACCAAAGCAGGAATGCATTAGTTAAAATTTCCTGCAGCTAAAAAGTCCAGTTGCCTGTGGTTTCTTCATCTATGTCTCCTTACCCACACCCACCACATCCTCTGTGATCCAAGACTCAGTTATGTCTGGTCCTGGTTGGTTGACCTTCTACATCGGAAAGACCATGCCCTGAGACCTCAGATCCCATATTCATAGCTTCAAACATAGTTACTTTAACTTCTCTCCCAAATCATGTTTTTCAATCCAGAACCATCTGGTTCCCATGTTTATCTGTTCAAGACAAGTTAACCACCTTCTCAAATTTCACCAGAGTTTTCTCTCTCTGTGGATGGTAATTTTCCACTAAGAAACAAAGCTCATCTCCCTTTGTGAGAGTTCATGCCTTCCCAATGGCTACAGGCTAGAACAGTCCATGTGAGATGCCAATCTGGTATCCACACCAGCTACGTGGTCTAACCCCACATGCCAGCAAAATTAGAAATGACCACATCACGGACCTTCAAATCTTGGAGAATGCCAAGCGTGCATTGTGAATATGCTACAGAAAGCGGGGAGGGTGTGCATATTTTTACAAGATTTTAAACCAGAAGAATCAAAGCAGGCATGTATTTTTCTTTTTAATTAACCCTCAGCTAGCCAGACAACCCAGTTAGTCATAATTTCCCTGTGTAAGGGATAGCAGTAGTTCACTGATAGTTCTTATGAAAACCTTCATGTAGCTCAGTCTCGGAGAGTAAACAGACTCGCTGGCTGTGTGGCCCTTCTCCCACCAGAGGCAGAGACTTGTCTTACTGTGGCTCATGCATGCCCCAGAGGGTTCTTTCCACCTTCCCCCATTCTCCATGACTATGGATGTTCAATCCAACAGGAAACCACCAGTAAATGAGTTGAAAACAAGACCATCCTTTTCCAGTCTTGCTTCAGCTCTGCGGGGTGGACCAGTCACAGATGCAACAAGAGAAATCAAGTAGCCAGCGCCTTTTCCCTCAGCCCTTTCCTCCATTCTTGTTGTCGGTCCCTGTTTTGAGACAACCGCTAGTCTCCATGATAACTGGGTGACGTTCTCAGTACTCTACACGACAGCCCGCTAGTCTCCATGATAACTGGGTGACGTTCTCAGGACTCTACACGACAGCCCGCTAGTCTCCATGATAACTGGGTGACGTTCTCAGGACTCTACACGACAGCCCGCTAGTCTCCATGATAACTGGGTGACGTTCTCAGGACTCTACACGACAGCCCGCTAGTCTCCAGGATAACTGGGTGACGCTCTCAGGACTCTACACGACAGCCCGCTAGTCTCCATGATGACTGGGTGACGCTCTCAGGACTCCTCTACACGACAGCATTGCCTATGGCATTCTTGTTTCTGTCCAGTTTTAGCAAAGAAGCCTTGCATTGCTTCTTATCCCAGTCTTGATTTCTGCTCCAAAAAATACAATATAATATAATATATATGTGTAAGTATATATGTATATATATATGTATAAGTATACACATATATATGTATAAGTATGCACACACACACACACACACATATATATACATATATATATATAAAGCCTTAACCTGTTTTGCATAGGGAAAAAGATAAACCCTAGAAACTGACAAGTTTAAAAACAAACCAGAGTACTAGAAAGAGAGATCAAAAATTAAAATTAAGAGCACTGGCCGCTCTTGCAGAGGACTCAGATTGAGTTCCCAGTACCCACATAGCAGTTCACAACCCTCTGTAACTCCAAGTACTGGAGATCCAGTGCCCTCTTCTGGCCTGCATGTGTACCAGGTAGTCTGTATGGTGCATGTATGTATATACATGTAGGCAAAACACTTGTACATATAAAAGTAAATTTTAAAAGTTAAGAAGGCTGGGCAGTGGTGGCACACACCTTTAATCCCAGCACTCAGGAGGCAGAGGCAGGTAGATCTCTGTGAGTTCAAGCCCAGCCTGTCTACAAAGCAAGTTCCAGGATAGCCAGAGCTAACCAGTGAAACCCTGTCTTAAAAACAAACAACAAACAAAGAGTTAAGAAAAAAGTTCTAAAAAAGGAATCACATTATCATACTCCCCACAGCCACTTTTGGAGATGGGTAGAAATTACTCTAGGGAAACAGACTCCCAGAAATTAAGCCATTTGGTCAGTCCCTTTTGTGTAGTAATTAGGCAGAGGGATGAGGAATCCAGGTCCCTAGATCCCTCTTTCTCGTGCCTGGGACAGTTCCTACATCTCCATATGTAGGTATTTTGCGCCCCCTAGAGGGTTTCAGTGTGTCTGCATTAGCCACACTAATGAATATGGGACTCACACTGGACTGAGTCCAAGAGTCCTTGTACCAAATATTTCAGCAATATTGAGCATGTGATTGCAAATCATTATCCATAGGGCATTTCTTTGAGTTTGGAGTAAGGGAGCTTAGTGGTCCATGGATCACCTCCAGAGTACAGTGCAATTAGCTGACTTTGCAGGTGCTTTTGTTTAAAACTGAAACTTCTCATTGGCCCCACCGCAGTCATCGTTCATCCGTTCATTCTTCTCCTGATGGAGATAGTATTGACTTCCCCATGGCAATCCTCCCAAAGTCCACAAGAACACCGAGAAAGGGGAGACATCAAGGCTTCAATTGGCTGTCCGTAATGTGCTTTCGGATCAAAGGCGATGGCTTTTTCTCCCAGAATATGCAAGGAGTCCCTAAAAATAATCTTTCAGCTTTGTACAATGTGGCAAGTGGAAATGTTCCTTGGGGTTGGCTCTTATGCAGTAAACATTTGGGAACCATTAAGACCCCTTGAAACGTGAGCAAGTTCATCTGGGATCGTAGCTGGGTCTGACTTGCAGGGTTCACATGGGGCTTCATGGAGGGCTGGCTCTTGGCATTTGGTTTTCTGATGTTAAAAAAGAAAAAAAACTACCAAAGAATGATGAATTTTAATAATCTTAATTGGTACTCTTATAGGCCTGTGTAATTAAGCCCCACTCCCACCCAATTTGGGGAATACAGATGGCCTGTGGTAGTAACCATGACCAAACGAAGCCGTTCCCCTCAGCCCTCTCTGATGATCCAAAAGATGTAGACAGGGAGGCACAGAGCCCTTCTGCTCCCCAAATCTTCATGCTCCCAAGGGGAGTCAAGCATTATACTTGTGAATTTTGAGTTTTGCTCCCTGAATAGGGGTGTGAGGGCTCCCTAGATAAAGGTGGGTAAGTTCCAGAACTGGGTGGCGATCTTCAAGGCTCCTGTATAGTAGGACAGAATGAAGAGGATTCTTTCCAGCATCGGTTACTATGTAAAATCTCCATCCATACCTTCCTCCACCTCCCATTCTCCCTCAGTTTTACTGCAATATCTTCCCCCACCGCCAACCCCAGTTACACTGAGCTGCTGACCAGGACAGACAGCTCTTGCAGAGTGACCACACACTGGCTTCAGGACAGGAGTCTACCACAGTCTTCCAGAGCAGTTAGTGAAGCTGAGTAGAAAATGGCGCTCCCTTCCACCCAGAACCCCCAGAGCCAGCTACGTGGTATGATATCATGCCAAAAGCAGGCCGAAGGCACGTTGGCCACTTGGTTTGGACTGCCTCCTGTTGGTAGTGAGATAGTCCTTCTGTGGCACTGACCACGCCCATTGGGGGGGAGCCATGGTCAGCAGTGTTGTGTACTGCTGTTTGATCTGTCCCTTGCAGACCTCCTCGTGATGCACTGAGGATTTTCCACGTTGCTTCATCCCCCAAGCTGTGCCTCTGTGCTCTTAGGAAATGCCAAGGGGAATTAGACAACTTGAACTAGTTTGCCATGCTGCTGGGACACTCGTCTGTTACTGATTTCTTCTCTTTTTTATTAAAAGCATTTCCGTTTCCATTCCCCTCGCTCCGAAGCCTCAGAATGTGTGTGCATAATTACTGAAGTGCCTAGTCATCAGCATCCTACCTATTGAGGAATGTCAGGCCTTTGGACACTAAAACATCCATCTTGCACGACATTCGGATGAGCTGGGACTTTCTTTGTCACGAAATGAGGGTTCTTTTTGCTCTTAAAAACTCCTTTTACAAGACAATTGTATTTTTTTGGTGTTGAAAATCTTTGGGATTTTATAAGTAACGATACAATGGTGTATTTACTTTAAAAAATCAAAACTATGTTCCTCCTTACAACACAACAGCAAAGTATGTAAGTGTGTTTGACACATGAATCCCTGAGTGAAGCAGGGTGACCTCCTAATCCTGGATGTTAATGTATGGCAAGGGCTTTGTGGGGGAACTAGGACGTCGTGGTTGCCTCTGTTCCAGACAAGGAATGGAAATGACTCAGGCAGAAGCTTCTGTAGATGGGAAAAGTTCAGTAGATAAGGTAGGTCAGTTTACCTGTCATCCTTTTCAAATATATATAGAAGCATGACCTAAGATAAGGATTCAGGGCAGAAGCTGTGGGCTGTGAAGACCCTGTCTGGTCCGGAAAACCGGACAATGCTGTATGCAGTCTCAGGGTAGCTAAAGCCACAAGAGAGCTCACATCTTCTTCCCTGAGTTGTACCCAAACTGAGTGGAAGCCACGACCTGTTGAGTTCAGCTTTCCAGACCCTGATCATATGCCAAAGAAGCTGCCCTCCAGCGAGACTACCTGCTATTCCCACATCTACCCTAGAGAAAGCGCTGGCGTTCTTAGCCAGCTGCCACCCTGAATCGCTACAAACAGATTTAGCCAAGCCAGAACTCATCACTTTGTTTTCAAGGGCTCAAGATCACGGTCTTAAAACTCACAGTCAATGGTGCGAGGTCTCTACTCTCGCTGAAATTTAGAGTTAAGCAGATCTACGAATGTGTGATTCGTTTTGGTGGAAAGAACTTTCTAAGGAACTGGAGATGGGTAGCAACAGTGAACATGGGGGGTCTTCTCAGGGTGCCCAGGTGGGGTCTTCAGAGAAGTGAGCCTCTCCAGTGACAGCTAGGGTTTGAGAAGGAAGCGGGGCTGAGAACCAAGGGACTGGCATCGTCTCAGGGAGACACACAAGTGCCTGGGGTACCAAGGAGGCCCCAAGCCCAAGAGAGGAGAGGCGGGACCAAGAGGAAATCAGCCAGGGAGCTGGGATCAGCAAGGAGTCCGGGCTTATTCAGAGAGAAATCAGAAATGAATTTATGGAAATGGGTCTCAGACGTTCACCACTGACAATCAAGGTCCATAAATATTAAATTGAAAATTTAGGAGATAGGTAATTTGTAATGTATAAACAATTTTATATTAAAGTGTATATTGCTATATCAGTTAATACATAGTGGTGGGTGGTCTCTTATTTGTAATTTAAAGTTTATCATATGTATGTATGTGTAGGGAAACACAGCATAGAAGTTTGATTTGTACTGTTGGAGTTTTAGGCATCTATTGGGAGATGGAAGGCTGGGTTTGAGGTTAAGAGTGAGGAGATCAGATTGTGGCCCAAGCAATGGTGATAGTAACTGTCCTTGATTAGAAAGAGAGAGAGAGCACAGGGCCATTTGGGTTAATGGCCAATGGCAGGACTTGTTGTGGAGTAGAGGAGTCAGGGCTAACTCCTGGGTTTCTGGGGGTAAATGGCATTCGCACAGACAACTAGGATAAAAGCGGGGTCCTCCATTCTACACATAGGAGAGCAGCGGTCCTTGTGGTTCTAGAGAGAAAGTGGCCCAAGCTATGTTTACTTTAATGTCTGCTCCATGGTTTCCGAAGCTGTAATGGCTTGGCAAACAGACAAATCACCCAACTCTGTGACTCATGCCAGTAGGTGCTAGTCAGACAGCCTGACTGACACCAGCATCTTCTCAGGAGGCAGGATTACATCCAGAATTTTCACCCTGAAAAAAAAACTTTGAAGAACTGGAGTCTTCACTTGAGCTCTCTGAAGTAGCTTACAGCCTCCTTAGCCTCTGGGGAAGACATGTAGTCGTATAAGTTGGAAAACAGAGGGATAAAAAAGGCTTTGTATTCTCTCCTTAGGGTTGTCCCATGGTTGAGACAATGCTTCTGATAACCTTCAGCTTCCCCATCCTTACTGGTCCTAGGGAAGATAGTTCATGTCCATTTAAAACCAAATGGCATAGTCTTTACTGAATTTAAAGGCACTATGGAGTCATTTATGTCTTTGGCAGAAAGTCTGCAGGTTTTTCCGGGCTTCATTTAGGTTAGAATGAGCCTTTCCATGACCCACGTTTTTAGGGACCACTGACTCTTCTCAGTGTTGCATGTCTGGGTGAGACAAGACATTCATGGAGTCAAAGGGAGTTAGGTCCTGCTACACATCTCAAATACGCAGAGTCCTAGAGTTCAACAACCAAGCATCCCTGAAAGATACTGAGTCCAGAAGCCTTAAACCCAGAGCTCACCCCACACAGCCTTGTTTCTGCCACAGAACTTAAGGAGTTGAACCTTGCTTTACAGGTTGGTAGAAACAGTTGTGAAAGGCAAGGGTAAAACATTTTAACTTTGTATTAACATGCTGTACAACTCGTAACTATTTATCCTTGTGGCTTGTGGATCTCTGTTTACGCTCTTGATCCAGGGCCTGCCACTGTTGAGACAGACTGTGTTAGCCCTTAGCCCGCCCCCCCTAAAATATGACCATGGCGAAGTGACAAGGGATTGTGAAGACAGACCTAAGAACTTGGTCTTTCTTAAGGAGTTTGTCAGTGCACTGCCTACAGTGTCTTGCTCCAATAGAGAGGTCACTACTATACACCACGTACATAGCTATCCTTGTGTATGGGGGGGGGCTCCTGCATCTAACTTGAAGACCAGAGCCAAGACAGCCTCCCACCTCTGCCCACCACCTAAGGCCTCTGCCCTAGGTCAGGCAAAGCCCGGCAGGAGGCAACACCAACGAGCCACACCCTTCTTGGGCTCTAGTGGGGTTGTGGGCCCCTGCCCTTGCATTACCACCGCTGCCTGGTAGTGGCATGGGACCTCTGTAAACAGCATCTTTTTCTCTCTTCCTCCTTCCTCCCCTTCCCCCACCTGCCATTCCTTCTCTCGCTCCCCCCACTCTTCCTCACCATCTGCAGTAAACCGGTCCCCCTCTCGCTGCAGCGGCCTGAATCGCTCTGAGTCTCCGAACCGAGAGCGCAGTGACTTTGGCGGCAGCAACACACAGCTGTACAGCAGCAGCAATAACCTCTACACTCCCGACTACTCGGTGCACATCCTCAGCGATGTGCAGTTTGTGAAGGTAACTCCTCCAGGAGGACAGCTAGCTGGGGTGCGGGACAGAGCTTTATGCACGGTCCATTCTCCTGTCCCTGGATAGGGCTGAGTGGCAATTCCTCCCTGACTGTACAAAGCCCTGCTTTTAGTAGGCGTGATGGTTTCTGCTTATTGTCATTGTTGTTGATGTTTGCCATCTGTCACAGTCAAGACTCCCAGTCCTTTATTTCAGGTGGACACACTAAGGCACAGATTAAAGGGAGGCGAGTTTGCCTGAGAGCACAGATTAAAGGGAGGTGAGCTTGCCTGAGATAGAGATGCAGTTCTAGGCAGAACTGTCTCTTTTGGACCCCTGCCATTGGCGACAGAGTGAGTCTAGTCATTTATCTCAAGGTCAGTCAGCCAAGCAAACAGAAAGATCGTGATGACATATATTGACTTACGTGATAGTATTCCTAAGCCATAATGTTAAAATGGGTCCCCGAAGCACCACCCTGAGTTGTAGCATGGACAGAAGCACTGAGGAGAAAGGCTGGTGTCTCTTCAGATCTTTCTTGGGGTAGCAGTGCCCGGGAGTCCTGTAAATCTTCTCCCTCCCTCTAGTTGATTTTTTTTTTCTTTTCTTTCTGACATCCAGGAAACCATTATAGACCTGGCTCTGAGACCTCAGCTAGAGCCCCACTTATCCCGTCCAGTGAAACACTTGGTAACTGCCAGCCACTGAAATCACACAGAGGGAAGGTCATTTCCTTCTGCCCAAAACACTGATTACTTCTGCGGTGTGCTGGCTGGTTTTCCGTGCCAGGACTCTGCAGATAGGTTAGCGATAGCCAGTATAAGTAGCCAGCTAAAGGGGCAGAACTTGCCAGATGGGCCATGTGGTTGTTGGAATAGGAAGGGTCCCCACAGACAGGTGCTTGAATGCTTGGTCCATGCAGAGGTGTGGCCTTGCTGGAGTAGGTGTGGCCTTGTTGGAGGAAATGGATCACTTCCGGGTGGGCTCTGAGGTCTCAGATGCTCAAGCCAGGCCTATGTGGCATTCACTTCTGCCGCCTGTGGATCTGGATGTAGAGCTCTCAGCTCCTTCTCCAGCACCTGCACGCCACCATGCTTCCCTCCATGAGGACAATAGACCAAACCTGAAATTATAAGCCAGCCCCAATTAAAACCTTTACGCTCTAAGAGTTGCCATGGTCATGATGGCTCTTCTTGGCAACAGAACGCCAAGGCAGGGCAGGATCAGGACTGCTAGGTAGAGAGCTCTCTGCGGGGCTCCTTACTGTGAGCCCCTTACCTGACTCGCCTAGGCAAATCTCATGGCTGCCCTCTGAGATAGGTGTGACTGCCCTTCCCACCGTACACATGACTTGGAGGCTTGAGTGCAAGATTCGTCTGGCTGAAAAAAAAAATGATAGAGTCACGATTCAGAGCTGACTCTTCTGTCTGCTGCTGGAGTCCAAGCCCTGGGATCACTGGGCTTCAGGGAGAGTTGTGGAAAGTTAGCTCAGGGAGAAGCAACCACAGCCTAGCTGAGGACTGCTCATGGGTGTGGCTGGCCATCTAACGGGCCTGCGAGCCGAGAGGCTCACCTCACTCCCCGTGGCTTACACTGAAATACCTTTCAGTGCTAATACAGATCTTTCTCCTAGGGAAAGGTAGGAGAGTTGGAACAGGGGTCGGTGTGCTAGCGCCGGTGGTTTGTAGTATCACAATTTCAGGACACAGTTTGTCAGCCACCTCACCACTGTCTGCTTGGTGCTTACTATCGATGAGGCCCTGTGCTTTTCTAGAGCTACAGGCCAATAGCAAGGGGTGAGGGAGACAGGTTTGCACGTCATAAACCAGGTAAGGTCTAGTGGTGACGACAGAGCCGTGGCATAAAGAGAGACAGGGCAGAGGGGTGAGGCGGCTGCTTCTGACGTGGCCATCAGAGAGAGCCGAGGGAAGGACACTTGCTGAGGGAGGGAGGGAGGGAGGGAGGGAGGGAGGGAGGGAGGGAGGGAGGGAGGGAGGGAGGGAGGGAGGGAGCTCAGAATAGAAGCCTCAGTGCTGGGGGTGTCGGGGATCTGAGCACTGGCCTGTGAAGAGCAGAGGCAGGCACTGCTGTCAGACAGGAATGGGGCTTCCTGAGCAGAGGCCCTGGGCCCTCTGGGGCAGCATGTGGGATTTGGATTCTATTTCTAGCACATTGCCACAGCAACTGGGGGGGGGGCTGTTAAGTAGAATTAATAGTTTCCTGAAGACACAGGTTTAAAGGGCATTTAATTGGCCGCCTTCTTGATTTTAAAACATAGATGGGAAAAGGGGAAGCTAATTCATGCTGTCACAAATTACCATAGTGCGTACACCTTACACTACTTCAGTCTGGCAAGCCCAAGGTCAGGGGCCAGGAGATCCAGTGTGTGTTGAGGGTGTACTTCCCCGACACCTTTGTGTCCTTAGACAGCAGAGAAAGGAGGCAAGCCCTCATGGAAGAATAATCACAGCACCTACTGCCCTTAAGACCCAACCCCCTCCTAATCCACTCTGGAAACCCTTCCCCTCAATGCCTTCTCCTAGGGGATTAGGTTTTTAGCATGTTAGGTTTCGGGCATCCTGTGGCACCATTTATAGATGAAGTTAAAAAAAAATCAGTATAGAGTTTGGTTTGCTACTTTGGAGTGAATGACATCTTCCCATCGAGTTTAAGTCAGCAGCTGTGGGAGCTGAAGGGTTGGAGGAGTGGTCCTTGTCCTGATTGAGATTGGAAAGGACAATCAAATGCGGACATGGCAGCTCCTCAGAGGAATGTACTGAGAAGAGGACCTTGGATAGAGAGAATTTGTGAAGGTTTTCCTAAAATTCGTCCCCATTCCTAGACCCAAGAAGAGGGAACTTTCTACAAATCACAAGGAAAACTTTCCCAACCTGAGACAGAGGGAGGTGGAACCTGAATCCAAGGCCAGTTCTCAAGGAGAACTGAGAACCGTATGTTCTTTTTGTCACATTAGAGGATCGTGATCTTGCCCAAGCTGCCAGGACACACCAAATTTAGTCCTTTTTTTTTCCACCTGAATGTTTTAAAATTGAGAAGGATGTCTGCTTAAAGCATTAGTCAAACTCTCTTTAAACCGGTGGCTTCAGAAAACTCTTAGCTCTACTGAGGAGGAAGTTTTCAAATTCAAGACAAATGTGTTAGGGTTGTTTTTCTCCTTTGCTGTCTAATGTAAGATCTTTCTTAAAATGTGAGAAAAACCACCTCCTCCAGGTTCAGAAGATGCTCAGGGATGCGCTAAGGCAACTTCCCACCTTCCTCGCCCAGCTCTGGCCTTCTCTCTAACCTGGAGAATCTCTGTGCTTTCTTGTTGACTTTGTAGTTCTAAGAATCGAACCTGGAGCCCCAAACACCCCAGCAAGTGTTCTGAGACATTTGTCCCTGTGGACCTAAAGGGAGCATGCATTCTTGGAGAAGTGCTTCCACAGGCTGCAGGGAAGGTCCCCCATGACCCGCCTTGTCCAATCAACTAAAGTTCCAAATTATTAAGTTCAAGAGAAATATGGTTTCCAGACAAGTTTAAGACGAGATAGGTAGTTTCTGGAAAAGGTTTTAAACAAAGCCGTGATTCATTCATAGACATTAATACATTATGAAGCTACCCAATCCTTGTGAATTTTGTTTTGGTTTTTGGTTAGTTGGTGGTTTTGTTTTGTTTTTTTTATTTTGTTTGGTGTGTGTGTATATGTGTGTGTGAGTGTGTCTGTCTGTCCATCTGTCCTATAGGCATCATTGTTAAGCTAAGAATGTTTGGTGGGTACCTTGCTGTGGGGGCTGTATGACTTTGACCAAGATCTCCATCACCATCTAGTGGTAAAATCCCTAAATTGCAGGATCGTGTTTTGAAGGCTAATAAACCATCCCCAAATCACAAGTTCATGAAATGACAAGAACCATCCATAGCCTAAAGGTTGACTTGTCACAATGCCCAAAAGGGAAAGCTTACCTTTTGTTAATTTCAAGATAATAATTTAGGAGATTCGTACATTATTAACTGGCCAACGTATGAAAAAACAACCTAAACTCAAGTTACTCCTAAGACTTGAAAATTAGTTTGCTTAGCTTTGTCAGCCAATCAGGATGCATTTCTTGAACATTATCAATGTTCTTTGGCTACTATGCAGTGTGTTAAATATATATGATACAAATATGGGGGCTGGAGAGATGGCTCAGTGGTTAAGAGCACTGGCTGCTCTCCCAGACAACCTGGGTTCAATTCCCAGCACCCACATGATAGTTTAAAACCATCTGTAACTCCAGTTCCAGGGTATCCACCACCCTGGTTCTGGACTTCTTGGGCACCAGAAACACATGCTACACAAACATACATACAAGCAAAACACTCAGACACATAAAAAAAATTCAAGATGTAAACATGTAAAATGTTCTATATAAGACAACTTCGCAAATAGTTAAAAGAGAATAAATTGACTAACAATAAGTAGTGCAAGCACTAAGCTATGTGGCATTATTATAGGCCTATATTATCTGAAGGATGTCCAGATCTTTAAAGATTGGGAAAGAACCAGAGCATGCATACACATGCCCACACCCACACACACACACACACACACACACACACACACACACACACTGTAAATTAAATGTTAATGAAGAATAAGATAAAGATAATTCTTTAAAGAACACAGCTATGGGAGGATCAACTGCTCTCTTGGGATTTATCAAATGTCATATAGAAAAATTTCTACATGGAGTATGGCCAGATAGCTCAGTGAGGGAAGGGAGAGGCTGGGGCATGAGGCATTCTCAGCAAGAGCGTTGGCTCTGTTGAATCTTTGAAAAGGTTAGGGTTCCACCTGAAAACTACCAAAGTCTGTGTCCTTTGGGGGTGGGGGGAACTGACACTGAGCAGAACCTATGCCTCATATTAACTAGGTCTGTTAAGAGTAAGGTTTTTTGCCTGGCCAGTCTGGTCCCACAGCCTTGCCAGCCCCAAATAATACACAGAGATGCTGTATTAGATATAATTCTGTTGACCAGTTACTAGTTTCTTATCAGCTAGCTCTGTCTTAATTATTAACCCATTTCTATTAATCTAAGTACTTCCACATGCTCTTATCTTACTGGAGAGAGGGGCTGGCGTTCTTCTCCCTCCGTCCTCCATCTTGGATCTCCTCCCTACTCCTTCCTCTTTCCTCCTTTTCTCCTAGTCCCGCCTATCTTGCTTTCCTATTGGCCAACAGTGTTTTATTCATTAACCAATAAGAGAAACATATTTACAGAATGACATCTCCCATCATAGGTCTTAGTCAGTGGGCCCCCAGGTGCCACAATGTCACTTCTGCTTCAGATCCTGAGCCAGTAGATTAGAAACATTCTGAACTGGGCCCTGAAACCTGGGTGTAACAAACCCTTCAGGTCTGATACTGAGGTGTGAGAATCAGTTCTGTCTAGCCCGCATCCTTTGGTTTGGATACGGTTTGAGCATGTCCCTAAAAGTTAACAAAGTCCCCAATGTAATGGTACTATGAGGTGAATATTCCAGAGGTAGAACCTAGAGGAACATGAGTAGGTTGGGGGGGGGGGGAGAATCACCTCGAAGGGGATTAGTATCATTTTTCTGGAATTGGATGGGTTTTTGTGAAATCCGGTTGTTGTCAAACAAGGTTGGCCTATGTGTCTAGCCCTTGCTACCGTCAGCTTTTTCCCTTTATGCTCTTGTGGCATGTGATACAGCCAGGGAAGCTCTCACCAAGTGCCAGCTCCATGCTGGTTATACTTTCCGGCCACCAGGGTCTTGAGCCAAATAAACCTCTTTTCTATAAAGTACAAGGCTCAGATATTTTGCTGCGGCAACATAGAACAGGCCCATGTGGGATCTTCCAAATACTCTTCCAAGCCTAAAGCCAGTAAAACTGAATGGTGGGACTCGGTGGTCTGCAAGTAAGAGACCCTTCATTGTCCCTCCCCTGCTGGGCTTAATGCAGCTTGGGTAGGATTCCTGCTTGGTGACATCAGGCCTCAGACCAGGAATTCCAAAGCATCCCAGTAGAGCTGCTTGTGACCGAGTGTCTACATAGCTCCCCTGAGCCTCTCTCCCCTTCCTTCCAGATCACACGACAGCAGTACCAGAACGCACTCACAGCCTGCCACATGGACAGCTCACCCCAGTCCCCAGACATGGAAGCCTTCACTGATGGGGACTCCACCAAGGCCCCCACCACCCGGGGCACACCCCAGACTCCAAAGGATGACCCAGTCCTCACACTCCTGAGCAACAGGACCAGCTTGCCGTGTGAGTCAGATGGGTTAGGCTGCTGTGGGGCATGAGCAGTCCTCCCTTACTCCTCCTCTTCTGCCCAGCAGCAATCTTGTGCCTCACAGAGCCCCAGGTCTCCTCCGAGGCACAGCGGTAACGTCCTCACTGTCCTCCCCAGGCAGCCGCTCGGATGGTCTGAGAAGTCCCGGCGAGGTCGTGTACCTGAGGATGGAGGAGATGGCCTTCCCCCAGGAAGAAATGACCAGCTTCGAGGAGCCCAAGACACAGCAACTCTCTCCATCCCCTGCGGCGGCTCCCACAACAGCAGGTCAGAGCTGGGTCCAGAGGAATAAGAGCCACCACTCTTGGACACAATCATGGTTCAGAACAAGCTGGCTTGGGGGACCCTGGGACCCTAGCATGTGTGGGCTCAAACACACATACACGGGGAGGGAGAGAGGGGGGCTGTCAGCATTTACCAAGCACCTATCATGTATCTGGCCCTTCTAATTCATCTTTCCAGGAAAACTTGATCAGTAGTAAGAGCTATTTCTGCCTGGATTCAGACCCTAGCCCCTCAATTCAGATTCTTTTTTTTTTTTTTAACACAGGGTCTCGTGTAGTCCAGGCTAGCCTCGACCCCACTTTGTTGTAGCAGAGGATGACCTTGAACTTTGGAGCTTTCTGCCTCCATCTTCCAAGTGTTGGGATTACAGGCATGCACCACCTCACTGGGTTTTAGAAACTATGCAATCTTAAGTAAATTACTCAAAGATTCAGTTTTCTTATCTTAATAGGCAAGCTTCCTTGAATGAGTTAATGAATATGAATAATGGTAGTTATATCATAAAGTAGTGAGGTAATACATATAGAGGACACACCAGTGCCTGGTGTCACTCATAAATATTAGAGCTACCCTGTAGATAAGTAGAGCATGATGTACTCTGGCATCAAGATGCACCTTTGTGCCAGGTGGTGGTGCACACCGTTAGTCCCATCACTCAGGAGGCAGATGTCTGAGTTCAAGGCCAACCTGGTCTATAGAATGAGTTCCGGGATAGCCAGAGTAGCCAAAAAGAAAAAGAGGAAGAGGAAGAGGGGGAAGAGATGATAAAGATAAAGGAGAACGGTCATCATCCATCACCCCTACTCTGCACTTCCTCTGGTCCACAGAGCAGGCAAAGTCTCTGGAACGTCCCCTGCATTCTTAGATCCCTTCATTTGAGGCACGGGGTACCTCTGTCTTGACAGTGGAGATGTTCAAAGCTCCCTGTGTCCCCGCAGCTATGAGATTCAGTTTTCCTCACTAAGGTGGACAGCTCCAATATTTGGGCACACCATACACCTACCCACCAGGCCAGTAATTCCTCCCCCAGGGTTTCAGACCTGCCCCATTCTACACCAAGTGTACAAAGCAAAGATCTGAAAAGGCTCCTGAGTCTGTTAGGTCGGTGAGACAACACATGCCAAACCCAGAAAGCACAGTCACCAGTCCAGGATTTGAACTAAAATCATGAGATTGTTTTCTCCCCCACACACCAAATTTAGTAGTTCCACCAAAGCATGTAGTTAGGAGATGGAGTGAAGGAGTGGGGGTGGAGATGGGTAGACTTTGAAGACCATCTAGTTTACCTCTTAGTGTGAGGACCCATGAGGTTGACAGAGAGGAAACAGCTCACCCACACCCAATGACCATGTTAGAAATGGACTCCACACCAGGGCTTTGGGTGCAGGTCAGTTTCCCACACCACCCTGCCTCTGAGCCTGGACCCTTCCTGGGCTCCGAGAGTCTAGGAAGCCAGGGCAATGTGTCCAGTTGTTTCTGAGTCCTAGGTTCTACAGGTGAAAGAAAGTGACATCCAGGGCACAGACTAGCCAGAGCATAGAGTATGTTCTCCATTCTTGCCAGATGGCATTTGAGGAGAGAGAATTATTTCTAACTTAGAGTAGACTGTCGGATTGCAGCTCTTGTTGTCTCTTCCTTTTGTGGCAGTAAACAAATGCAGTTCAGTAACTAATAGACAACACCCTTCAGGACACACACTCTCTCACACACACACAGACACACACCATACACACACCATACACACACACACCATACACACACACACACACACCATACACACACACACCATACACACACACACACACACTGTTGGACACTGTCACTCACTGAGAGGTCCTACCCTTCCGCCCTGTCACTCAGAGCGGCATCCCCCCAAATACCCCTGCCTGGTCCTGGCATTTAGGTTGGAGGCCTGAGTTTGCTCTCCTTTCAGCTCCCGAGGCCGAATGCTGTAGCATCCAGCTGGGGCCGGAGGCCAGCCCTTGCAGCAGTGACAGTGAGGAGACCATGGGCAAGAAGCTGCTGAGAACCTTGAGTGAGTATCTCTCCAACCAAGTAGTGGGCGCAGCAGGTTAGGGTCTTTCTCCCAGGGGAAGCCTTGTAACTCCCTAAGGAGTCACAACTCTGGAGACCCACAACAGGGCCTGAGCCAGTGCCACACCTGTGATACTGTTCAAATCTGTCCCTTTCCATTGGTGATCTGGGGACAGGAGTCCACAGGCATGCCCTGAGGCGGAACCGGACCTCCTTCCTTCTCCTGTGTTTTAAAGGTAGAGGTCTTTGGATTTTGTTTTATGTGGCCCCAATGGCATGGTTAAACAGTCACAACAGAGACCTTAGAGGCTATAAAACCCATAATGTTCACTACATAGCCCTTTGAAGAAAAACTCTGTGTCCAGGAGACTCCATAGAAAGGAAAGCAAGGGTCACTGAGATGGCTCGGTGGATAGATGCTTGCTGCCAAGCCTGAGGACCTGAGTTTGATTCCCAGGACCCACCCATGATGAGAAGAAGACTGACTCACAAGTAGTGGTCTGGCCTCCACATGAATATCATGGCTCCCACACAACCACACACACACACACACACACACACACACACACACACACACACACACACACAGTAAATGTTCCGGAGAGTAAAGAGAGCACTGTCCTTAGACAGAGGTCAGAGAGAGGATGTAAATGTTCTCTGAAAACTGCAGTACTGCAAGCAGGTGTCTTCCATCTTTGAGGACACTGACATTTGAGCAAGAGTGGGCAAGAGATGCTCTGAACCACAGCCCTTAGGAATGGCTCCCAGCTCTACCCAACAACTCCGGCCCATGGGACATCAAAGACTGGGCAACTGGTACTCTTTTGGGGTGTCTGGCAGTCACTTGAGCTGAGGCTCTTCAGAGAAGGGAGTGAAGGCATTTTAGGGCCTACGGAGTCCCTTCCATTGAACTCTGTCACAGGTGACTCCCTGGGATTGTGGTTTTCCAAGAGGCTCCTCTTTGGGGGAAGTGCTTCATGGTGTAAATGTGCTGATGTCAGCACCATGGAGCACCAGTTCCAAAGCCGGGCTCTGTCTCTGGTTGAAGAGAGGAGTCGCCTGCCCACTGAGAACATCCTCCCTAGCTACAGACTGATGCCCACAACCTGTGTTTCAGGTGGTCGGAAAAGGAAGAGGTCAGCGGACGGAGAGAGAGCCTCTGAGGAAAACTCCAATTTAACACCTCTGATCACATGATGAGGGGAAGACCTCGTTGTCTGGGTGTGAGATTCCAAGGCTTTGGGGAAAGACTCACCCTCCCATCACTTTCTTCCCCCACGGCCTCCCACAGGTGACAGAACATTCTGCCCTCCATCTTAAACCCCTCTCAGTCAGTTCGGCAAGCTTTCCCAGTTGCCTGCAGTTTGACACAGAAGGAGATGCCTGTAATGGAAGATGCTAGAAATGGTCTTGTCCATAGCATAGTGCAGGACTGGCAGGGAGATGACCCCAACTGCCAGTGCCACTCTGAGGCTCCCGGTGATATCCTTTATTCTTTGGTGTCCCTGGGTCACAGAAGACCCATGTCCTGGAATTCACCATCCTTTCTTCCAGAACAAACCTGATGCACTTTCCACCGTAGTGTATGCTTAGCATTAGCTCAGGAGGTCGGGAGGTGGTGCAGGTAGAAGAGTATTAGAGTCTAGAGGGGCAGCTGAGAAGGTGAAGGTCGGTTCCAGGAATGGACAAGGATTCTTCTACCAGAACTTCAAGGTGTGTGACTCACTGTCAGTGCCTGGAGGGGCAAGCGAGGAAGCCTTGAGTCACTGTATCACCCAAGGGCGTGTGTGTTTGGGTTTCCAGTAATACATCTGTCAATGACCCTGCTTCCCAAGAGGAGGATCAGGGAGCTTGGAGACCAAGTTGTGAGCCAGACATGGAACTTCAGGTTTTACGTGAAAATCAAAGCAGGGAAAAAAAAAAAAAACTTACGGTTGTTACAGTGAGTTTAGCCATGGTAAACCAAAGAGTGCCCAGGTCAGCCAGGAAGGATGCTCCGTGCTATCACGGAACTTCAATGTACTTGACACAGGAATGTTGAATGCTCACTTTTCTTTTTCACACCCTCCACCCCCACCCCAGACTGTCAGCCTCTTACTATATCCCTTGCTGGTCAGCTAAGTATTCCAAAAACCTACCAGATCCTGGGCTTTTAGTCCTGGGCTTTGAGGCAAATGCAATTCCAATCACAACCACAAGATGGCAGAACGACCGTGAATATCTACTCCTAAAAATAATGTAGGTATTGGGAAACCGCCAGCCTAAGGGAAAAAGTAAATCAAGTTGGAGTTTGAATTTGAGTTTCTGATTTTTCCCACCCCTTATACACCTCCAGTCAGTACCCAGAGATGCAATTCTGCCTGCCGCATCAACAAGCCATTCCCAAGCCGCCTTTCCCCTCCCCCACTCAGTCACAGGCAGGTGGACAGCTGATAATTCCTCTATGTCATTTTCGTCTCAAAGGAAAATGCTCACCCACAGGAACTTTATTTAACTCAGGGGTTGTTAACCTGGGGCCATTACCCCAGGGGAGTCATAGTTTGACTTCAGAGGGCCTATGATGCCCTTGAAACTGTCGGAACTTAGTGTTGTGTGTGTCCCAGAGACTTGAAGTTTTCTTGCTATTCTCAAAGTTCCCAGACCCACAAGGCGTTCAGTAGGTTTAAATCGTGTAACTTTCAGCCCGGCATTTCTGCAATGCAGAGTAAATATTGGGCACTTTGAGAATGGTGTATAGTTATAGGTGGTCAGGCATTCTCGTCAGTGGGGGAAGGTAGGCACCCATCAAGACAGCCCTCGGAAATCCTTGGCACACCACACAGGATGGTACAGCCTATATCCCACATAACGCCTACATCTACCAAGCCACAGTTGGCGTTGCCAAGAGGGCCTCAGCCCATGAGAGGGAAGATTGGAGCCAGGGATGCCTCTTCTGTGTGTGTCACTGACTTCACATACCCCTTGCCTAGCCTGGCTGGCCTGAGGCTCAGCCATGCACGTGTCTAGCCACCACTCTGCCTGTTTCTACCTGGTCAGAATAGACGGGGCCGGCACTCAGTGCTGGGTGTCTCAGACCTAGGCCAGAAAGTGACAAGTTCGGAGCAAGAATTGGCAAGGGAGCCTGCTGGACAAACACAGCTCCCTCTCATTGTCCCTTAGGGCACCAGGCCCAGACTACTGCTATTGCATTATACACTCCCCACTGCAGAACCTCTAAGGAGCCTGTCACCACCCCTGCCCCCATCTCCCAAACCCTCACATTTTCTTCAGGTTAAAATAAATTTAAAAAGCAAGATTTTAAAATAAAGCATTTATGAAGGCTCAATAAATTGTAAATAATTTTTAAATAAAATGAAAACGTGTTTCCTGGACAGTGGCCATTTTAATTGCCCGTGGAATGTTGGAGTTCTGATGTGGTTTCATCGGAGGTGTGTGCTGGGCAATGCACAGGTGTGAAGGAGTTCTGATGTGGTTTCATCGGAGGTGTGTGCTGGGCAATGCACAGGTGTGAACTTCTCCCCTGTGGCCCTGCTCCCGGGACAACTCCAGTGGATGCAGGTGTGGGCTGGGGTAAGGTGGGGTGGGAATTCTAATCAGTCTTAATAATAAAAACCCAGAGTCAGATATCAGGGTTAATGCTGAAGATCAAAGAGCAGCAGCCACTAGTTCTTACCTCTACCGAACCCTCAGGCTGAATGGGCGATCCTGTCCCTACGAATCCTCAGACTGACCGCTGTCTCTACAAAACCTGAGACTGAAGGGACCCTGTGCCCATGAACCCTCAGACTGAATGCCCAGATGAGTGCTCAGACTGAATGCAATGAGCTCCTGTCTCCTCCCACCTTATATTCCTCTCTGTGCCCAGCCATATCCCTTCCAATCTCCACCTCCTTAGCGCTAGGATTAAAGCTCAAGACTCCCAAGTACTGGGACTAAAGTGTGAACCACCACCACCTGGCTTTCCCTTTTAGACCAGGTCAATCTGTGTAGCCCAGGATGGTCTTACACTCACAGAGATTCATCTGTCTCTGTCTCCCGAGTACTGGGATTAAAGATGTACCACCACTGCCTGGCTTCTATGGCTAACTAATGTGGCTAGCTCTGTACTCTGATCTTCAGCCAAGTTTTATTTGTTAGATCATGAACAAAATACCACCTCAGGAAGGATACAGGAAAGTTCCGTTATTTCACTGTGGGAGGTCAGATAGGTCAGATTTTACGGGAATGGATGGCAGAAGTGGGAAGTAACACACGAGCCTGGGTGTAAATGGAGGCAGATGGGTACTAAGCAGGTAATGAGAAGGGCCGCTGCCTGCTCAACCATGACTGCGAGCGAAGTTCAGGATCTTGGAGGCCAGACCCAGACCTGCCGGAGACTCTGCTGCTCACAGCAGCAGCTTTCTGCAGACCCTCTGGGAAGAAGTGGTGATGGCATCCTTCCAGCAGTTTCTAAGCAAAGGCAAGAGGCAAGGACAGGGGAGCAGGCCAGCTGTGAGCCAGCTCTGGAGGCTGGAACAGTCAAGCAGCTGGGAAGGTGTGTAACAGCGCCATCAGTGAGCTGTGCAGAACAGTTAAAGATTCCTCTTGGAGACTCGATACAGCCTATCCTTTCCTAATACAGTAACAATTGTTTTGCTCTGGGCTTTCCTACTAAGTGTTGTAATGAGGATCCATTAGCTCATTGTGGAGAGTGCCTGAGAAATTGGGTAACTTCTTAAGGTTGCCCGGCCAGGAACTAGCAAGTCTGAGTGCCCTGTTTGTGAACAGACAGGATGTGTGATACTAATCCTACCTCTGAAGTCCACCATGTATCCATGTCTGAGAGGTCCCACAGCTTTCCCCAAACATGCACAGAGCCCCAGACACAGTGTAGGACCCACTATTATGGCCAAATCCTCATTTGATTTTTTCTTTTCCTACTAAAAACAGCTTCAGCACATTTGGTAGAGGTACTTGAAGCTGTTGCCTTATTTTTAATGGTTTTAGCACTTCACCTAGAGAAAAAATTACCTTTCCCTAACCAAAATAAATAAATAAATACATCCTAGTAAAAGTTAATGTAGGATATTTTTGGATCAGGTGATCAAACAAAATATTTACATATATGTATGTGTATATATGTATATATACATACACACACACACACACACACACACACACACATATATATATATATATATATATATAGAGAGAGAGAGAGAGAGAGAGAGAGAGAGAGAGAGAAGCCGGAAGAGGATATTGGATGCCCTTGAACTGGACTTGCAGGCAGTTGTGAGACACCATGTAGGTGCTGGGGACCAAACCCTGGTCCTCTGCAAGAGCCACAAGCAATCAACCCCCGGGGTCATCCCTCCTGACAACTCAGGATTCTTTTGCTCCCAACAACCAAGTCTGACCCTAGTGAAGGTACTGTCATCCGATGGCTTAAACTACACCTAGGGAGAACATCAGGAACCTCATTCTACTCATGGCAACATCTTAAAGTTGGAAGAACAAATGGTAACAAAAAGTACAAAAGGAAACAAAGAAATGGCAAGCCAACCCCTAACCTGTCCTTCATCCACATGGACCAGCCCAGGGCACCATCGGGGTAAGTGCCAGCAGAGGGATCTGTGCAATGATGCTGACAGAGGTAGAGGACTTTGCACAGGAAAGCAAAACCAGAAATAACCACTGCTTGCTTTCAAGAGGTAGGAGGCCACCGTGTCAGTACCAATGGACTGAGCCTGAGAGGGATGGGGGAATAAAGCAGACCCTGGCTCAAGGTAAAAGATCTTTTTAAACTCAAAGCCCTATGAGCAGAAGAGAATGCCTTGCTAAGCTTGGAAAGAATTTCTCCCCACACCCAGATGAAAGGGATAAGTCTGGGACATGAAGCAGACGGTTTCACTAGGGGAGGGGGGTTGGACCTGGCGACTTCCAGGAGCCAATGGTCTTCAAAACTACAGGATTTTATACCTCCCGGAGGCCCAAGAAATACTGAAATCGCTTTGAAATACTTTGAAACTCCCAAGTAGTAACTCTGTTGCTTAAACTAAGACACAACCTTACCAATTTTCCACAACCATAGCTGGCAGAGTCCTGGACTCTCTGGAAACTGTGATGTGTTTATGAAACACTAATTTTTCCAATATGCCAGGAGGTGATTCAGCTGTTACTGGAAGGGCTGGTATTCTAGAATTACTCTAAATGTGACCTCATC